ATGAAAAAATTCGCGCGGAGGAAGTGCCGGAAGATCTTTCTTGGAGCCATTTTTTCTTATTTGAGAAAACTTTTTTCAAAGTTTCAACACAAAATTTTCATCATCATTTTACCTGATATCATTTTCTTAGAAAAATTCCTATTATCTTTCAGTCAATCATAATCCAGAATTTTGATGTGCAATTTGCACTGGTGTTACACTTTTTGCACTGATGTTACACTTTTTGCACTGGTGTTACACTTGAACTGCACTGCTCTTAGCCAATCAGAATCGAGTAATTTTTTCATGTGTATTATTAAAGGAGTAATTGTGCAAGTAATTTCAAAATTGGCTGAGCACAAAGCGCAAGGCCGATTTGAAATTACCAGCATGATTACTCTCTGCACTGTACAACATGAGGTCCAATTACTAATTAATCATATATATATAACAAATTTCGGAGTTAAAAATGTCTTTTGAGAAATTCTTTTGAGCGAAAACGTCTATAGCACTTTTCGTAAGTTGTGAAAACTGTAAGAAACATTGCGAAGGAAGCCATTAAAGTGCACGTAATTGATGTGCGAATCATGTGGGTATCCAATTACAAGTATCCAATTATAAACAGTTCAAATTGGATACCTGTAATTGGACACCCACGTGATCATGCACCGATTACGTGACGAATAGGTACGTGGAGAACCAATCACGATAGAGAATTTTGCTATTGACACGATTAATATTTTAATAATACACCATGTAGTTACCCCACGCAACCCACAGGTGTAACAGAATGATTAGGTTCAGCTTTCTTTGTTTCTTCTTTCTTCATGTAATTGGCTTCAACAGAATCTTCATCAACAGTCTTTGTAACTCTGAAAAAGCAATTAAAATATTCTGATTTTTTAAAAACAAATCAGTCAGAAAACAGAATTTCACAGAAATACCTGTTACCTGGGTGGCCTGTACAGTGTAATGTGGTTAGCTGAAAGCCAGTTCATGATGAAAAAATTAATCAGGAAAAGAGTCAAGAATGAAGGGTAAAAGTATAAATTAAAAATTAAGCCAAACTGAGAAGTTATAACACTGATGTCCTGTATGTATAACTTTGCAAATTTTGTGACAATTTGCAAAATAATTTAAATTATAAAAGCACATGCAATTTCCTGATTTTTTCAAGCATGATCTAGGTTTTCATTATCATAACTTCTTTTTACACAAGAAAATAAAGTGATAATAATCTGTAGTACACACAATGATCACAGTTTTGGGTAATACCTTGTCAGTTGTTCTTGTCTAATTTCAGAAAATATCAATACCCCCAGTCCACTTATTAAAGTAGGCTGTTGGAAAGTCCAGTATAGAGAAAGAGAGGGAGAGAGAGGGATTTCAAAGTTATAAGCTCAACTGGAATTTTAGGGAGGGGTGGGGGTGGGGGTGGGGGCTCCAAAAAAATAAAACCCTTTTGTAGGAGGGATACACAGTAATACCTTTTTCAATCTGAACAGCAGTTTATAAAATTGGTACCTTTAACTACATGTAACAACTCCAAACTAAAATATCAGGTGTCATAAACAGGAATGGAATAGAATGTTCCAGAATAACATGGAAGGACACCAGAATAGCACCAGAATGGACTAAAAAATGATCGTGAACACTCCTGCATTAATGGAGATGAAAATGAACCGGAATAGTCATGATAGTAGCAGAATGACATCAGAATGACATGACTAACACTGGAGTAAACTGAAATGATACTGAGAGGAATCACAAATCTTGGTGCAAGTTATAATAAGGAAAATTATTAGGTAAGGCCTACACGACTCCTGCTGCTCAATGTAGTTTCTTTTCCTTTAGAATATGGATCCCAAGAGTGTGTCCTCCAGTGATTTTCTCTTTTGTATGAGACAATAATTATATATTTAAATTTTCTCCAGCTTCTCATCAGTCTGGAACCCTAAATCCTTGTATCTGATTGGCTAATCACATGCACTCCAGTGGTCCTTTTTTCCCATCCAGAACCTGAGTACTGACCACTTCAAAATTTCAAACTACATGTACGACAACTTTTCAAGCTTTTTGTTACCCGTAAAACAACCAAAAATGTAAACATTCAACAGTCAGATAATTATGCAAACAGTATTGCTTTCTGTGCCCTAAATGTCACATACAGGGGTACCCAAAATTTGAACTGAACCACTTTAACTGAACAGCTTTAAGTGAAGTTGTCAAAATTGCTTATTGTGATACTGTTCTCCTGTCATTCTGGTTCATTCCAGTACATTCCGGGTCATTCTACAACATTCCATTCAGTTAGTGAATGGTGAATGGTAAATGTAAAACTTTGTGAAAATTCGAGAATAGATATTTTTTCTGCAAGCCTGAGACATTTTGCCTTCTTCAATTGTGAGACCAAGATTTCAAAGTGTTTTAAATGTGAGCTTGAAACATTCAGAGTTCAGGTTCTAAGACACTCAGATGTAATTTTTTTTAAGAAAAACCAAACAAACATACAAACAAACAAATAAATCGGTACTTTGAGACTTAAATAACTATAGCCTTGCATGAATGCAAGACTATGAGACAGCAGTCACCATCCCTTAATTTATCTTATGATTCTTGACATACTTACATAACAGCTTCACCAGCAAAATCATATGTTTTGGTGATGGACACTTTTTTGCCAGAGCTAGAGGAAGGCTAAATTCAACAAACATGTATCAGCAAAGTGTTAGCATTATTTGGGGTTAGTATTTAGACTTCGTGTGTTCATACATAGAAAAGACAAGGCTCCAAACAAGCAAGATTACTAATTTTCACAGGCAGTGAAGGAAGGTGTTTTTTTCTCAGAGTCCATATTTCTGCAATATTGCTTACAGTATTTGATGAGGAACTTTACTGTACACAACGGACAAAATAGCTTATAAACCCAACTACACAACATTACCAAAGTATGAAGCTTCAAGGGGAGTAAGGATGGCACAGTGGTGAGAGTGCTCACCTCCCACCAAAGTGTCCCAGGATCAATTCCCGAACCCGGCATCATATGAGGGTTGAGTTTGTTGTTGGTTCTCTACTCTGCTCCAAGAGGTTTTCTCCGGGTACTCCAGTTTTCCCCTCTCCTCAAAAACCAACATTTCTAAGTTCCAAGATTCGATCCTTGAATGCACAGGCATTTCTGACTGCGTTCTTGTGAACTCCTTGGTGCTCCGTAGGTAAACAAACTACATATTTACATTACATATTTCATTAACAAACAAATGTATGTGCTCTTCTCCTAAAATTTAATTTAAATACATTAATGGTATTGTTCCTTAACAAAAGCAACTTGATGGTGGCAACTTGCAATTTAATCAGGAACCATTACTCCGACTCAAACAACTTGTTGTTTGATGACGTTTATGAGGGAACACTGCCTTGCATTTGGTTACTCATTCAACATCCTGCAATTTCATGACAAACCTCACTTGTCTCCCCAGCACTACCAGCTAAATGTCTGACAGCAGGTGCTGGTTTGGACAAGAGTATCAGTGAGCTGGTCACATTTAAAGGTGTTCAAAAAACCAAGTTTGGGGGACGTTTACTGATAAACAAGAATTAATTTTAATAGACTAATAATAATATCAAATAGTCACAGAATGCATTTTCTCATTCTGTTGTTACTATTGATCAAACTGTCTTTGGTTTTAACAATAAACATTGAGAAAACCTCTGGGGAATCTTCACAGCAAAAGTTCCTTGCAGCTTGCATTTCATGTTGTTCATATCACTTTGCAGAACTGATAAAATTCATGCTTGAAAGTTCTTTGAGCTTGCTCTTGTGCTTACTCTCAAATGGAAATTCCCAAAACAGAAATAAATCCTTCAACAAAAAAATAAAAATAGGCCCAGAAAAGAAATAAATAACCCATCTCTGTATACGAGAGGAAGAAAAAATGGAAAGGCTCTAGGTTTGGTCAAGAGCCCTTGACATGCATTGAAGAAATGGAGCAGTCTCCAAATACCCTTGGTGTCTTTCCCTTCAAAGCTTAGAAAGACAGAAAACATGTCTGCAATGCGATACTTTTCCTGTGAAATTCTGATCCATATTCATTGATGCAAGAAGGTCCTATTGCTCCATTGGTCTAGGGTTTCCTGAGATGAGATATCTTCCAGCGTCAAACAAGCTAAAATCTTCCATTTGATGTTGGGAAAGAATACATCAACTTTGAGCAAATTTCTAGGGTGTGTATTTGTGTAATAGATTTGATGAATTTTTGTGAAATTGTGCCAAAACTTTCCAGGGATATAGACAAATAGGAAATTTTGATTTTTCAAACATTTTTTCCTGCAGCACCATTAATATGCAACATGTCTCTCATATTCTTAGCTACTTCAACTTTAGATGCGGTTATCTACACTTGTAGACAACCAAACAGGATATTGAAAAAGCCTTGACACTTTACTCTCATAGTGCCTCCTTCCACCTAGGTATCTAAACAGGCACTGCAGAAATAAAATGCTGGGGTAATCCTGTGATGCACTTGTATCCCATTTGTGGGGGTGGGGGGGGTGGACTGGTAGAAATTCTCCTAGTTCTTTCGTGCCACTGAAACTAGAAACAAGGGCCAGCCTGACAGGTCTCTTGGCTCGTATGAAGACTTTACCTACCTTTTATGAACTTTTTGGTCTCTTCCATAGAAACCATTAATAAAAGCAAGAAATAAACAAAGAAAAAGAGTTATAAATACAGCGGTTATGAAAACAGCAGACAACATTCCTTGCAATGAGATAGGGGTAATTTCAAATGATTTTCACCTTTGCACTAAAAAGGGAGAAGTGATGTTACTTGACATATAACTGCTGTGCTTGGGCAAATGATAGACTTTCTCAAAGTCCTTCATGATTGCAGGTAGTCCCAACCTGGAGGACTTTCTTCACCTGCAACATGCCCCATTTGCAGGAGGAATTTTCCTCCAGTGCCATTTAGCCAATCAAAAGCATGTATTTCTAACTGAATGTTAGTCATACATGACAGGGAAAAGTGTGACTGCTTATAGATTATGGCTGGGTCAACTACATTGATTTTGAACATCTACTAATGTCCACCTCTCTACAACATTTGGCCACCTCTCTATGATGGCCACCTTTTTTTTTGGTTCCAGCAGATGATCCATACATTTACTCTTATTTCAACCTCTCTACAACTGCTACCTCTCCACAATGGCAACCACCACTACAATGCATCCCATCTGCCAAAATAACCTCTTAACAATGACAACCACCACTACAACGCATCCTATCTGCCAAAATAACCTCTCCACAATGGCAACCACCACTACAACGCATCCCATCTGCCAAAATAACCTCTCAACAATGGTCAGTTACTAATCGATGACTCATGAATGGTGAATACAAAACCAAATTTTTATTGTAGAGGATCGTACTGTGCATTGTCTGTCTCTGTTTGGTTTCTGTCTTAATGATATAATTATTTTGATTGTGTTACATAAATACCTACATATGCTACAATAAGCATTTTTTAATGACAAAAATGTTACACACCAAAAAAGGACAGGTGTCATATGACACACCTGTATGGCACTACTTCCCAATAACTGCTACCTCTCTACAACATCACTAGTTCGTCTGTCCCTAAGGTGGTCATTTTAGAGAGGTTTGGCAGTATCACTTGGCTTTCATTTGACCTTGATCAATAGTTTGTTATCAAGAGATGAGCTGGGGAGCTGGTGCCTTTATTATGGGTGAAGCTGGGCACCAATTCTGGCACAGGAACCCTGTGTGTAGCCACCACCGAGTAACCATCACACTGAGCCAGTCAGTGCAATACTTACCAAATACAAATATACAGAGTTAGCTTGAATTAAGCCTTTTGATTCTTGAAAAATCCACATACCGGTAGCTTAGATGGCTAAATTAATAAGCTAGGGGAATATCTTTTAGTGATCTCACCATTTGTGAAAGAGTTGCTATACTAGAAGAGTTTGATGCCATCATCCCTGTGTCCCTCTTGAAAGCAGCCCATAGATCTTCTTCTTTTTCTTTCTTGGCAGCTATTTCTTTTTGTTGTTTTAATAATATCTCCTCTTCTTCTAAATCTTGTTTGCTTCCCTCATCCTCATCCTCTGTACTACTGTGATCAGCGTCATCTAGTTTAATTCCACCCTGTTGTCTAACAGATGTTAACAGTAACATACGTAAAAATGGAAATACTACCTAACATACTAATGTACTAAATTAGTAATAATGATGTAAAAAATACAATGTTATTGAAACCTACATGATGTAGAAGTACATCAAGTACATGTTAGTAAGAATGAAAATGTAAGATTTCAATCTAACCAGCATTATGATCCATCAAATGTTTTCGCTCGCACACGATTGGTCTAAACATGTCATGTGACCGAATATTCCCCAGCTAAAACTGGGGAGTAGCCGAGGATGTTCCCAGTTTTCAAAACCGTGCGTGTTGCTAAAAATATTTGAAGTATAATAAGCACATTAGCCTCCATTTGGCACAAAAATATGCTTAGAGATTTGTCCTTGAACATTATCTGTTCCTCGAAGCTCACAGTTTTGCTTCTCAGAACAGATAATGTCTGCGGACAAATATCTGAGCATATTTTCGCACCATATGGAGACTATTGGTTATATATTATCCTAGATTATGTTAAATGCAACATTTTTACCTATATGTAAAGATGTGTGAACTGGATTGAGTAAGCCAATTGATGGAAAGGACAGAGAAGGGATAAAGAAAAAGGCTGGCAAGAAAAGTGGAAACAATGGCAGAATTGATTATAATATTGATACAATCAATAAATTGAAATGCATGGTTGATTGGCCTGTTTCTAGTGTTACAACAGTGGAAAAAAAAGCCTTTGAAACAGAGCAAGCGTTGGCCAAATATCAGTCAAAGGTCAGCTACTAAATCTGCCACCAATTGACTGTGGCAATCGCAGGCTGATATGTCCGGAATGAGGCAATGATAAGACTTGCTTTATGATTTTTGCTGGGAATCAAAGGTGAAGAGTCTGTGTCATAACTTTTAAGATACAAGTGTAAACATATATAGCAAGGAGACGCGAGTAGACCAATGAGATTAGTACTTGTAAAAAGTTACTTTAGGATAATTTGGCTCGCAAGAATAATTTTAATATGGAATAAAAAAATTAATTGGTCCATGAAGGTTTTTACAACAATAACATCCTTTATTTTACCCTTCTCATTACAAATTGATTAAAATTAATTAACGTTATGATTAAATAAGGGCACTGGCAACCTGAAAGAAATAGTGGGTTAACCAATAATGCCAGGTTGCCAATTTACAAGCTGGATATGTATAATATGGTGGGACAGACACACACTACACAACATACACAGACACATACACAACTATACAGTATGATATACACCAGAAAAACAAAGAAATGAGAAGCAGAGATCACACCTATTAACCATATCCTAAAGTATATAAATATGTTATACATAAACTAAAGTGAGAAGCAAGATACATATACACTGTAGTTAAGGCATGGCAAAGACAGTGATAACATTTCAGAGTGCAATATAGAGAAAACCCGATGTTTGCCTAGTAGCTCTGTGAAACAGGTTTTTATTTTATTTTGTGCAAATATCATTCTAATGAATGTTGGACTCCATGACCCCAAGTTGAATACAGTGTATGAGTTGACAAATAACAAATAATATTATGTAATATGTATCCAACAAGAGCGAATGGAGTAATTGTTCAATAGACTGGATGATGTGAACATTTTACATTTGATCTAAATAAAGCAATGGTCTCAAAAGGGAGGGAAAGTTTGACAAGCATTGCTCACTTTTTGAGTTGAATGAAGCAGACCAGAAAAGCAAGTGAGACCGACACAATTTTTTTCTGAAATATTCTGCCCATAATCACCTCCAAAGCTTGAAAAATGTGGCAAACAACAAAAGGTTTATGACAAGATCTTAAGTAGTGGCATATTTGCCGTACTTTATATGCCTTGTTCAAGTCAAATGAAGCAAGAGTTTACTTGTTTACATGGCCGTCAACATCAAGACTACATATTGTGCTGTTCAGAATTGATCAAGTTTACTGAAGTATAAAAGGACAGGATTTAATATTGCAAGGAAACAAACTTCACAGGAGTGCTCAGATTAATTTTATACTGAAAATCTGTTTTCACTAACTGAACTGGAACGATAATGAGTCAGTTTTTAGTTCTTCCTGTGATTTTTTTGGCTCCTTTTTGATTCATTCAGTTGCTTTGCTGAACATTTACAAGACCTTTCAATTAATAAAATTTAATATTTTATGTGAATCTCTAGGTAGCTGAGTTAGTTGTTACATTTTGTGGCTTAATGTAGATTCCAGGATGGCATCACTGGCATTGTCTATTATTTATTATTGTATTTTTGTAACAGAAAACTCACCAAAATAATGTGCTGCTTTCAGCAATTTTTTTCCTGACAGAGCTTTCCTTTACTAGTAAAAAAATTTTACACCAAGTGACACTTGCTGTACTCATTATCTTATGATTCTTCTTTCTCTCACTGAGCTTCTATATTAAGGAACAATCTCCTGATATCTTACGTATGTATGTATTTCCTATGTAAGGTCAAACACAGGCATACTTTTGGCTGGTAACAGGGATTCAGTGAACTAATGTAGAAAGCTAGAAAATTATCAACAATCATCTGATGTTTACAATTTGATAACTCTCATTAAACCACACTGAAACATTTTCAATACATCAAATTATTTCATTTAGTGTTTTTTTCTACAGTGAGTAGTTATGCAGATTATATGGTAAGGTTCATGAAGTGAAACTAGAGAAACAATTTCGGTACAAACAAAACCAACTGAGATGTAAAACAGCTCAAGGACATAAAATGACAACTGGTGATTACACATTTGGTGGTGGCTCTAGAACATGCACAGATTGAACCCACGCAACAAGATACTTAGTAATAGCCCTTTCAACTTGGTAATTATTGTAATAAAAAAAATTAGTGTGATTGTTTTTCCACCTTTTTCTTAATATATTAAATACATTTGACAGAATTAATGAATAATGCGCCAGGAAGGTGGCTAATTATGTTCTAAGGTCTGAATGGCTCTAGAAATCTTCATTTGGTGCGACTGGTATCCATGTGGTAGAATTGAATAATTATTTCTAATATTGAAAAGAACTAAGCTTTGTTCCCTTGTAATCTGTAACTATGTAAATGGAGATATCTCTTAGACACAAGTAGTAATTGATGCATTCCAGTAGGAAAAAAGTCTAACTTAATGAAGTTGAATTATGATGATAGATTAGCTATGCTTCAAGTATTTTTACCTTATTCTAGTCTTTGTTATGGCCCTTTTAGCACTGACTTTCTGTTTTTCTTCATCTCCACTATCTCCTTCATCACTGTCATATTCTTCTGTTAATCAATGACAACTAAAATTATATATTACAATCATTTCAAATAAGTGTACATCCAACATAAAAACTAAAGTTAGATAGGAATTGACCACCTGGCACAAGTTCATTACAAATATCAGGGACCCCAAAGGGGGAGGGCTGGGGGGATTTAGCCACCCCCTCCCCATTTTTTAAAGCAAAAAAGAAAAGATATGATTCAGAACTGAAATATGTATTTCATTGTACAAAAGTTGGATTTGACACTGAATTAAAAAAACTGGATGACAAATTATTAAGGTTGAAACCCTGATAATTCCTCAGAAGTGCATTGCACGTCCATACTGCATATGATTTTTGTGTCATTAGCATACACAAAATCAAGAGATTTCCTTCAAGCTAAGCTTGGTAGGGAAACAAATGCTTATTTTTAGCTCATTCATTGTGTCATAGCGCAATGGATGAGTCTTATGGGGGCTAAATATGGACAGGAAGGGTTCAACCATAGATGGAAATACACATGTGCAAGAATTTAAATGTTTCTACAAACTAATAAATAAACAAATAACATCAAATCACAATTTCAGGACTTCCAAGTGTGCAACATGGATCAAGAAGTCGAAATCTTCCAACCCAGGGGACCCAGAATGATTTTTTTGACACGCTCGCCTGCACAAGGCAGGCCACAAAACTTGCCTCGAAGAGGTAGATTGAGGCAGCCATTATTGGAAGGTCCCTTGTTTGTCGCAGATGTGTCGTGACATCACGTCACACACTATGTTCACAATGTAGCATGGATAAGAATGGAATGAGCACACCTTCAAGATGGTGTGGTAATGTTGTTACAAAATGTTATTGGAAAATGAGCCTTTATTCTGTCTTGAATGATTGAACAAACCGCAAACTACAAGAAAGCAACAACAGATTTTCAAATTTTGAATATTTTACACTTTTTTGTTTTTTCATGTTGGTAAGTAATCAATACTTTGCTATTGTGCTTTTCCTTTGGAGCTCTTCAACATACAATGCACACATCAATAATAGCAGCCAAGATAGTCACACTAAGACATTTTCTGAGCTCCACCAGTTTTGATCCAGACTTGAGGTTCGCTCATATCAACCGCTTTACAATCTGCTTTACAAATTACTTTACAATCTGCTGAAAAATATTTGCAATACAAACCAATCTCTCGTTAAAAGTTGCTTGAGATGGATATTAGCAGGACTTAACTAGTCTCGACCTTGATTATTCCGGATGTCACAAAAACCTCATCCAATAATTGTGTATAATTTGTGTCAACAGAAATTCGAACTTAAGGCATGAAGGAGTAGAGCAGTGTCAAAAATTCCCACAACCCAAATAAAGCGTCTTCTCCAAAAGAGTACATAAGCTGTAACTAAAGTACTAAAACATGTTCGAAAAGTTGTGCCACAGTCATCAAAGCTTCATGCATACTTGCGCAAAAAAAGTGCATACCATAGGTTAAATAATAAATTTAATTTGTGGAATGTGTGATCATAAGTATAAATCAGCTAGAGAGCAGAAGTTGAACCTCAATAAAAAAGATTATCAACCTATATCACTGCTGTCCAAAACAACAAAGACTGTTTGCTTTTTGTACAAACAAGAACACGAAAACACAAAAAGTCAGTTGCCTGTGTTTATACTGATGAACTTGGTTTAAAGAAATAATAATATACATGAAAATTTTTTTCATGTTTATACTATTAATAAGTAATCATACAGTTTTTCTCGTTCAATTTGGACTTAATTTGGAATTAAAGCTGAAATTGCACTCACTGAAGCCGCTTGTGCAATTTCAGCTTTTTGAAAAACTCACTCGTGCAAATTAATTCCAAATTGAACTCGAAACTGCATGATTACCTATACTTTAAGTGCTCCTGTGTACAAATACTATGGGTAGTTCATTGCATAATAGCATTAAGATGTAGAGGAGAATCCTGGGCCTTTCACTCAAACAAATAATGACAAGAATGCTCCATGTGCCAAACAGGTCAATTCAGTTTCACTATTGGAATCCAGATTATCTGAACTTGGTAGACTTCTAGTCAATGTATTGGGAGATGGAAACTGTTTAATGTAGAATAATTAACTACTTGTTTGTAAATTCTCAGATTATAACACTACTCAGTTTCAATTACCATTTTGCTGTTCATGTTTTTATCTCATTTTGAAAGAAAGTTATCTTGTATTAACTTCAATTATTTACGTGAATGTGGCAATTATACCAAAATAACCACACAACATTCCACCCTACTTTTCTAATCCTAAGACACTGTACATTTTGATAATGCATGGGGATACTCCTGGGATTCAGGAAGGGGGGGGCTGTTCAAAATTGGGCTTCAAAGCAGGGGACATTGGCCAAAAAATAGGCTCCAAGTAATTACTATAAAGTGCACTAAAATGGCATGAATAATGTGCATTTCCAGAACAACACAATGAGGCAAAGTAACCCATTACACCCAAAATGCCATTTCTGAATTTCTGAAGATTTAAATTTTTCCCAGGGAGCATGCCCATTAACCCCCACCTCTGTAGTTTGTTACTTGAATACAGTTAACTCACACTATCATAATGACCAATCTAGAAGCAGTGCTTAGGAAATTATCAGCAGCCGGGCTAAGGCTGAGACCAGAGAAGTGCTTGTTCAGGGTGCCAAAAGCCACCTGTTGTCAGTGGTTATGTGATAAACAGGAGTGGTTTTTAGCAGATAAAAGCTAAGGTGGAGGCCATTCAGTATGCCCCAGCACCTGAAAACATCACACAGCTGAATGCATTGCTGGGAATGCTAAATTACCACGGCTTCCTGCCAGATATTGCCACAGTCCTTCAACCAGTCCATAAACTACTTAGAAAGGGCAAAACGTGGTGCTGGAAGAGAGAGTAGCAAAAGGTATTTGGAGAGTCAAAGAAACTCCTGCAGTTTGCAGAACTCCTTGTTCATTTCAAGCCAGATCCAGAACTGATCCTAGTAGATCCTAGTAGAAGTACTTATGAGGTTTAGAAACTTGATACCTATTGCAGCCAAATTAAGAGTTTTTAATATTTGCAACCTCTCACACGAAAACGTACACTACGGCTATCCGTTTGAATGCCTAAAAACCGTTCACTTTCCATTTGCCATCCATTTGTCATCCATTCGTGATTGATAGGATGCCGTTCGAACAGATTGGATCATCCGTTCAGAAAAATTTCTAGTCGTTCGAACAGCTACTGCTACCCGTTTGAAAAAATCTTCATCCCTTCAAACAGCTGAGGTTATCAGTTCAAATAAAATCTTCACCCGTTCAAACGGCTGAGGTTATCTGTTCAAAAAAAATTGTCATCCTTCGAATGCCTGAGGTCATCCGTTCAAATAAAATCTTCATCCATTCAAATGGCTAAGGCTATTTGTTCGAAAAACTGGTTATCCGTTTGAAAAAATGGATATCCCTATTTTTTCGCTTGCATTTTTCGTGCTGCACTCCAACTAACTTAACCAAACAAACTTTGAAAACTTGAAACTCAGACTCTAAAGGGCCATTGGAAAAGACGTTCTTTCTTTCTCTTTGGAAAACTCAAATCTGGAATATTACAATAAATCAAATCGATTGACGAGGTATTACCAAAAGACAGACAGGACATAATATTAAAATAAACTTGGTGTTCTACTCTGAGAAGAGACGTTGAAACAAGATAATGTTATTGTTTTCTATTGAGCTCTGTCGAAGTGCACTTGATCTCTATAACAAAACTTGCGTCACAGGTCATGCACAACGGGTCGATGATTGGTTTACAAATTTCCGCACATTTGGAAAGAGACAGATTCAGGTCCGTGATGGAAAACAATTATTGCCGGTTCTATTCTGTCAAAAACTTTTGGTATCCATTTCTAAGTTTTGTCAAGTTTTGAAAGCAGAAATGAAGAAGTGTGTAATAAGAATTGCAGCTATACATGTAGACCTACAAAAGGAGAGCAAAAACACATCCTTTATCAAAACATCAAGATCTTCTGCATTTAGCTGCTGACCCGCTTATAACCATTCGTTCAATACGAACCCTTTTCTTCAGCCGTTCAAATGCCTGGAATCATATGTTCCAAATGTTTCTTTAGCGGTTCGAACACCTGGCGTCACCTGTTTGAAATTTTTCGTTAGCCATTCGAACGGCTGGCATCATCCATTCAAAATTTTTTGTTAGTGGTTTGAGTGCTGCCGTCATCCATTCGAAATGTTTTGTTCCTGGTTTGAACAGCTGGCATCATCTGTTTGAAATTTTTCCAGTGCTGTTTGAATGTTTACAGCATCCGTTCGAAATTTTTCTGTGGCCATTCAAATGGTATTTGAAACCGTTTTGAACAGCTGGAACATCTGTTTCTCATCCATTCCTTAGCCGTTCGCAAGCCATTTGTTTTGACCATTTAACGGATATCCGTTAGTGACGTTTTCACATGAGAGGTCACATTTTACCTCAGGTTACATATTGTGATATAGTATGGCACCATTGTCACTAATCAGATGAGAGGAAAATTGAAATGCTGTAAGAGTGAGCATTATGGGCTATTTACTGCCACAGGATTAGTACTTACCGGTATGAAGTGCTACTAAACAAAGCTAGACTACCAAGGTTATGTAATCGCAGGCTTCAGGACATAGCCATATTGGTGTACAAAGTCAGTGCTAACTTAGTTCCATCATATATATCAGATCGTTTTAATTGTAACATGAGTAGATATAACCTTAGGAATGCAGACGATTTTTCCTCACCAAGATGAAATACTGTTACTTACGGGAGACATAGTTTAAGATATATGGGACCTTTAATTTGGTCAAAGCTGCATAACTCTATTAAATTGGCTGACTCCTTAAATGCTTTTAAAAATCAAATCAGGGCACTCGACCTGTCAGACGTTGTATCGCAATATAAATGTAAGGATTGCTATTTATGTAGAAATTAGTTTTTGTCAATTTGTAAACTGTAGTTGTATAGGTTTTCTTTCTTTTATTGTAGATATACTA